GTGTGGTGTGTGTGTGTGTGTGTGTACTCACCTAGTACTCACCTAGTTGAGGTTGCGGGGGTCGAGTCCGAGCTTCGGCTGTGTGTGTGTGTGTGTGTGTGTGGTTGCGTGTGCTGTGTGTGTTTGTGTTGTGTGTGTGTGTGTGCGTGTGTGTTAGTCTGTATGGTGTGTTTTTGTGTGTAGGTGTGTGTGTTACCCCTAGTGACTCCTTCTGCGGTCTTCTTGTTCCTTCCCCAATCTTCATGAATTTGCACTCGGTGGTATTGCAAATCAAGAAACACAGTTCTTCACAGAAGTCTCAGTCTTAGACCCTTTATGTATTCTCCTGTCACGTCGATGATTTTTATAACCACATCATGTACAACTATGTACACCTATGAGTTAGTGCAGCGTCAGTGTTAAACCAGGAGGCAGGTACTAGATGACCTGTGGAAGCCCCGCTGTCAGGTGCCATGACCGTGCTCACACATGGCTGCTGAATGTCCGACAGGTATCCCTGATCATTTCAGGGCCTCCCTGTTATCCCTGCTAGACCTTTTTTGCCGTATCTCTTGTATGACTGTGTCAAACGCTTTTTACAGCGAAATGCAATCTACCACTCTATCCCTCTTGTCTTACTGCTATCACTGCTTAAACCAGTAGGTTTGACACGGATTCGTCCTGAAACCGATGTTGGCTGTCGTTGATGAGATCATCCTTCTAGTTTCCACCACTCTTCTCTAGAATCTTCCATGACTTGTCTATACATGTCGTGACATGGTTGTGTTATGCTTAGCGTTCCTTTTTTAAAATGGGGATATTGCTGTCTCCATCCTAGGTGCGCCCTGTTTCAATAGATGTGGTGTGTGTGTGTGTGTGTTGTGCGTGTGTGTGTGTGTGTGTGTGTGTGTGTGTGTGTGTGTGTGTGTGTGTGTCAGTGCTTGATGTGTCGTGTAGCATTGATACATACACAATGTATCAGTGCTAGATGACGGTGACGTATAACACCTGCCAGGTGCTATACGTCACTGTAGAGCTATCACACGTCACTGTAGAACTGCCATACGTCACTGTAGAGCGGCCATACGTCACTGTAGAATATCACACGTCGCTGTAGCGCTATCACACTTCACTCCTCTAGAGCTATTACACGTCACTGTAAAGCTATCACACGTCACTGTACAGCTATCACACGTCTCTGTAGAGCTGCCATAGCTCACTGTACAGCTGCCTTCTATCTGCTTTTTACGAGGTTGTTGATTTTGTGAGCATCAGAGAAACGAGAGAAGACCGTAAACACTGCCAGAACATTATGAGGCCCAGCGAGGAGGTTGGTGGTGAGTGTCAACACTGTACCTCACATCTCTGACGTGTTGTGGTACCTCACACCTCAGTTATGGTACCTCGCACCTCTGACGTGTCGTGGTACCTCACACCTCAGACGTGTCTTGGTACCTCACACCTCTGACGTGCTCTGGTACCTCACACCTCAGACGTGTCTTGGTACCTCACACCTCTGACGTGCTCTGGTACCTCACACCTCTGACGTGCTCTGGTACCTCACACCTCTGACGTGCTCTGGTACCTAGTACACAAGGTAGGCGGAAGAAAAGTTATGGAGGAGAGAGAGAGAGAGAGAGAGAGAGAGAGAGAGAGGAGAGAGAGAGAGAGAGAGAGAGAGAGAGAGAGAGAGAGAGAGAGAGAGAGAGAGAGAGAGAGAGGGGGGGATGGCAGGTTTGAGGTGGATGTGATGGAGGAAGGGATTGGAGACTGAAGGAAGGTGGGAGGAGATGGAATGAGGAGAGATGGAGTAGGACAATTGGAGGAGGGTGAGGGGAAGGAGAAGTGAAGGAGAGGGTGAGGAAGGGTGGAGGGGAAGAGAAGGGGAAGAAGGAGACATTAATAAGGAGAGATTGAAAATGTCACATGACTACCTTGGAAGATGCCCCTCAAAAGTAAGTGATCGACTTTTCCCTACCAAGTTCCGGAGCGGTTCCCTCAACCAGCTTTTGTCTGTGCGGCCCTGGACCCTCCAGCTGCTCCATCCACCCCCCCCGTCTTTCCCCTCAAACCATCTTTTTACCTCTTAACCCTCCTTTCCACACTTAACCTCTACTCAATGTTACATGCCTTTGGCGCCGACATTACCCCAAGCCATCACTCACCTCCCCATTGCCAAAGAGGTTTATTATAATTAAAAATATATGAAAACAATTAATAAGATATAATAATAATAATAATGTGAAAAGTTTATATTTTCACACTCTTGGGAACTTATCGGACCTGTAGCTAAATCAATACATACTATTAAAATAAAACATTCTCATTCAAGACAATTTCGGGCAAATTAGCAATTTTGGCACCAAGGATCATTTCCCCAGTCGACTAACACCCAGGTCAGTGCTGGGTGAACAGGGACAACAGGTGTCTTCAGGAAACACGTCCTAATATTTCCACCCGTACTGGGGACCGAACCCCGGACCTCAGTGTGTGAGCTGAGTACGCTACCAACCGAGCTACGAGACACCGTCTTCCTGATTCTGAAAGACAAACCTGAGCTACCTCGAGGTTGCATACAGAAAGTAACACTTATTTCAGCCTGAAAGATCGCTGTTCCGTAGAAAAGAAATGAAGAGAAAGTGCGAAGGAATAGGAAGGAGATGGGAAGGAGCTAAAAGATTGGAATAGGTAGAATAAAGGGAGGGAGGGAAGAAAGGTAGAAATGTTGGTGATGGTAGGAACCTACAGTGTGAATGTTGGGTGATGGTAGGAACCTACAGAGTGAATGATGGGTGATGGTAGGAACCTACAGTGTGAATTTGATAGGGTTGATGGTTAGGAACCTACAGAGTGAATGATGGGTGATGGTAGGAACCTACAGTGTGAATGTTGGGTGATGGTAGGAACCTACAGTGTGAATGATTGGGTGATGGTAGGAACCTACAGTGTGAATGTTGGGTGATGGAAAGGAACCTACAGTGTGAATGTTGGGTGATGGTAGGAACCTACAGTGTGAATGTTGGGTGATGGTAGGAACCTACAGAGTGAATGTTGGGTGATGGTAGGCATATACAGTGTGAATGTTTGGTGATGTTAGAAATCTAGAGTGTGAATGTTGGATGATGGTAGGAATCTAGAGTGTGAATGTTGGGTGATGGTAGGAACCTACAGAGTGAATGTTGGGTGATGGTAGGCATATACAGTGTGAATGTTGGGTGATGGTAGGCATATACAGTGTGAATGTTGGGTGATGGTAGGCATATACAGTGTGAATGTTGGGTGATGGTAGGCATATACAGTGTGAATGTTGGGTGATGGTAGAAATCTAGAGTGTGAATGTTGGGTGATGGTAGCAATCTAGAGTGTGAATGTTGGGTGATGGTAGGAATCTACAGTGTGAATGTTGGGTGATGGTAGGCATATACAGTGTGAATGTTGGGTGATGGTAGGCATATACAGTGTGAATGTTGGGTGATGGTAGGCACATACAGTGTGAATGTTGGGTGATGGTAGGAATCTACAGTGTGAATGTTGGGTGATGGTAGGAACCTACAGAGTGAATGTTGGGTGATGGTTGGTATATATAGTGTGAATGTTGGGTAATGGTAGGAATCTACAGTGTGAATGTTGGGTGATGTAGAATAAGTGAATGTGTGTAGGAACCTACAGAGTGAATGTTGGGTGATGGTAGGAAACGTAGTGAATGTTGGGTGATGGAAGGAATAGAGTAGTGAATTTGGGTCGATGTAGTAATAAGTTGTCCCGAACTTACAGGTTTGTCAGCAATCAGAGTTTCCAAATGCTTGGTCTAATGCAGGCTTTTCCAACTTAAACCCACTGCTGCGAGTACTGCTTGGTAAGGATATTCACACATTAATTTGGGTATCCCTTTAGTTATACTTTTTGATTCCATTTCTTTACTTTGGTGTATTCCGGCCCTAGTTCTAAGCCTTTGTCAGACTATGTAGATTCAGTGCCTATGTTTAGGTACCTCGTAGTGAATGTTGCTGACCTTAAGTGACCTATAATGAAGCATGGCCGATTTAATTAACCTATAATGTGCCTTGATGAAGACCTGTAATTAAACCGATAATGTGCCATCTGACCTAAAGTCTAGCCTATAGAGTACCCATGCCTTTCTATACACTTTAACTTAAAATGTCATTATCGCCTTTAGATTTTCAACATATTAATGACCCATTTCCTTGACCTTTAGTAGCCTTTAATTTGTAGCCATGCCCGTCTTTATTAACCTAATATATGCATTCAGTGCCTTAATTACCTATAATGAGCCATTTCTGACCTTAAGTAGCCTATAATGAGCCATGCCCGATCTTAATTAACCTATAATAGTTCATTATCGACCTTAATTAACCTATAATGAGCCATTCCTGACCTTAAGTAGCCTATAATGAGTCGTGCCTGACTTAATTAACCTATAATATGCCATTATCGACCTTAATTAACCTATAATGAGCCATTCCTGACCTTAAGTAACCTATAATGAGTCATGCCTGATCTTAATTAACCTATAATATGCCATTATCGACCTTAATTAACCTATAATGAGCCATTCCTGACCTTAAGTAGCCTATAATGAGTCATGCCCGATCTTAATTAACCTATAATAGGTCAATTTCTACCTTAACCTATAATGAGCCATTCCTGACCTTAATAGCCTATAATATCGCCATTATTCCATAACATTGACTTAACTATATGAGCATTCCTGACCTTAATTCACCTATAATTCGCCATTCCAAACAATAATATGCTATTCCTGACCTTTAAAACCCTATATAATACTCCATTTCTGAACTTATTTAATATGCATTGTCATATTTCGAACTTAATTAACCTGTAAAAGCATTCCTGGAAAATTTAAGCATAGAATCCAATTCTTTATTCGACCTTATTTACTGCATAATGTATTATTTACGACCTTAATCTATAAAGCAAAATGTGTGACCTTAATTAGTTATAATGCTGCATTTCTGACCTTTCTCGACCCTATGTGACAGACTGTGGAGGGGACATGAAGGGTGAAGAGGGTGAGGTCAGGTCACCTTACTACCCTGACGCCTACGGCCCTAACGTCACCTGTCGCTGGACTGTGACCCCACCTGAGGGTCACATGGTGCATATGCTGGTGGCCAGACTCAGACTAGATGAAGGTGATGCACTGCAGGTGAGTACGTGGGGGTGCAAGCGAGTACATGTGCTCTGCAGGTGAGGACATGGAAGTACACGTGAGTACATGTGCTCTGCAGGTGAGGACATGGAAGTACACGTGAGTACATGTGCTCTGCAGGTGAGTACACGGAAGTACAAGTGAGTACATGTGCTAGGCAGGTGAGGACATGGAAGTACACGTGAGTACATGTGCTCTGCAGGTGAGGACATGGAAGTACACGTGAGTACATGTGTCTGCGGTGAGTAACGGAAGTAAAAGTGGTACATGGTAGGCAGGTGAGGACATGGGTACCGTGAGTACATGTGTTGCGGTGGACAGGAAAGTAAAAAGTGAGTACATGTGCGCAGGTGGGGAAGGAAGTAAATGGTAATGGAAAACAGGAAAGGGAAATAAAAAGGAGTAATGTGATTACAAATTCGTGATTTTTTTTCTAACATAACCCAATACCCCAAACCCCCCCCCCAAAACCCCCCCCAAAACCCCCCACTTTCCCCCAAAAACCCCAAACCCAAACCCAAACAAACCCCTTCACCAAACACCCCCCCCCCCATCACCCCACACCCCCCCACCACCCCCACACCACCCCCCCCCCCCCCCCAACCCCCCCCACACCCCCATCACCCCCACACCCCCAAACCCACCCCAAAACACCCCAATCCCACCCCCAAACCCCCCCCCCCCCACCCCACCACCAACCCCCCCCCACCCACCACCAAAACCCCCCATACACACACCCACTTACACATACCCACACACCCCACACCACCCACCCCACCCACCACCCACATCACCCCCAACATCACCACACCTCCACCACAAACCCCACCCACCACCACACCACACCCATATTCCACCCCTAAACCCATCACACACTAACCACCCACCACACAAACCACCTTAATTATCCATCCCATCCACCACACACCACTACCCACACTCACCACACCACCCCATCACCTCCGCCACCCACCCTCCCACCCTCACCACCTACCATCACCACACACCACACCACCACCATCAACACCACTCACACCACTCTCACACCATCACCACTACCTACTCACCAACACCACTACACCCCACTCACACCACCCCCACCCAACTCCCACTACCCCACCATCCACACCACCACATCACCAACTCTCCCAAACCATCCACTACCACCACCTCACACTCCCACATCACCTACCACCATCCACCCACTCCCACAACCACCCCATCACCATACCACCCCTCCACCCCACCCCCACCCACACCACACCACCCACCTCCACCCCACCCCACCAACCCACCCCCACCATCCCAATAACCCCACAAACACCACTACCCCCATCCCCCACCATCCCACCCACCCTCCAACACCCACTCTCCACCCACCACCACCACCCATCCACCACCATCACCAACTACCACCACATCACCACTACCACCACCTCTCCACATACACCCACCTCCACCACCACAACACCACCACCCAACCCCCCAACACACACCACCCCCCAAACCCACACATCACCACCATCACCACAACCCCACACCAACACCCCCCACACCACCATCATCTACCACCACTACCCACCACCTAACCACCACAATACACCACCATCACCACATCACACCACTCACACCACACTCCACACCACACCAACCATAACCCACACCATCACCACTATAACAACAACCATACCAACGCCACACCACCACCACCCACCCCACCTCCACCATTACCACCACCACATCACCCCACTCACCACCCCATACCACCACCACCATCCACCTCACCACCATAAATCATCACCCATACGCCACCATCACCCCACACCTCCCCACCATACCACCACTCACCCACCATCACCACACCACCCATCCTCTACAACCATACACCATCACCACCACCATCACCAACACCACACCACCATTTACCAACACCAACACCCCCACCACCCACCACCATTACCACCACACCAATCACCATTCACCACATCATCACAACCATATCCCCCACCACCAACACCCCCACCACCACACCACCACCATTAACCATCCCACCACCACCACACCACACCACCAATTACCCCACACCATCCACCCCCAAACCACCATTACACCACCAACCACCACCACCACCACACCCCCCCATCACCCATCACTACCACCTAACCTCCCACCACACCAAACCACCCCACACCACACCACACCACCCTCACCATCACCACCATCATCATCACAACCATAGCCACCATCCCCCCACCACCATCACCACCCCACCACCCACACAGCACCTCCACCACCACCCCCACCATCACCACCACCACCACCACCATCCA